GAGACATGACAGGAGAGGACCATAGGCTGCGTAGTGATGTTAGCTTAGTTTAGGATTAGATGGTTTTTTTTTTATTTATGATTGTTTGGCAATAAACTTTGTTTCAAGTGAATTGAGGGGAGATCCCACCTATTGTTTAGACTTGACTCGGAATAAGTGTTTTCTTTTATTTTTCTTTCGTTCATTGAAATCGTTTAGTTGGAATAATGGATGTTGCCTGGTGGTGTTGTCCATTAAGGCCGCTTGATTGATAGTTTATAGAATTGATGTTTTATTTATGTTGTAGTTTGATGTATCGAACTGAGTTGAAACTATGTATTTATAACTTGTTCCCAGGGAGTTGTTTATTTCGAATTTAGAAAATAACATTTGACAGAGGAAAATGAATAACGTTACCTAGAATAGTGTAAAAAGTTCTGGGGCATTACACCATCTCACTGGCCCAAGAGGGACTTCCGATTATTCGTTGCACCATAACCGGGTTGTTCATTAGAAGATCAGCGGTACTTAAGGTATAAGATGTAACATAGGGGTAAAACGGTAATTTGACCTAACTGTGGTTACGAACACTGGTGAAGGATTGACTTACCGTTAATAGTCAAAATTCGTGGACGTAAAATATTATATAGTGAGAAGAGTGCAACTATGGGCCTTTAGTGGATTGACCAACAGTTCACTAATGTTGATTAAAATGGTTAATCAGTTTAATCAATTAATCTTATATTATTTGAGCTTCCAATCTTTAGGTCCATTCGGTCCATTGCTAGCTCGTAAATATAGTTAAGAACATTTAGTCTTGAAAAGAATTTTAATTGTTCAAATTTGTTAACGGGAATTAAAGTTAATTATATGAGATGCAATTAACATAATGTATGTCGAAACATTATAATATAAAGTTAATTTTGAATTGGATTAAAAATTATGAGAGAGATAGATATTAGAATTTGATTCTAGTATGGTTGATTAATTTAAGCTTAAGTTGATTAAGTATGATTTAATTAAATTAATGTGATATACTAATTTCATTAAATTAGTTTTAATTTTATTAATTTATTAATTTTTTGTAATTAATTAAATTATTTATTATTTTAATTAAAATTGTTTTAATTAAAATAAAAGGAAAAAGAAAGGAAAAAGAAAAAGAAAAAGAAAAGGAAAAAGGGAAAAGGAAAATGGGAGGAAAAACCTTCCATTTTCCACCATTAATGGTGGGAAGTGGGAAAGTGAGTGGGGATGTGGTGACTTCCCGCTCATTCCTACTTCCCTATAAAAGGAGTATCTTCCAATTTATTTTCGATGGCTTGAACGTTGGTGGAATGAGTTTCTGAAACTCCAACAAGAAAATCTCTCTTTCGATTTCTCAATTTTCCTTTCAATTATAAGAGGAAAGTGGGGAGTTCTTCCAACTTCCCACCATTAATGTTAGGAAGTAGGAAAGTGAGTGGTGAAGTGGTGACTTCCCGCTCACTCCTAGTTCCCTATAAAATGAAGGATCTTCCAATTTCTTTTTTATGGTTTTAACGTCGGTTCAATGAGTTTCTAAAACTCCAACGAGAAAATCTCTCTCTTGATTTCTCAATTTCCCTTTCAATTATAAGACGTTTTCCACGTATCGAGTTCTTAACATCTAGAGGATAGCGAGGAAGACTTTTTGGTGGTGTTGGTGTCGACATTGAAGAAGTGCCTTCAAAGGTATGTATCACTAGTTTCCTTTTACTCATGCTTATGGCTTTTCTTTGTTGTAATTCTAAAACAATATCAAAGCACACGTGTTCACATGCTTCCGCTTTAGAATTCGATCTCTTCAATTTGTATTAGAGCCCAGGCTCTGCTTTTGATCTTGTTTTGAATAACAAGGAAAAGAATGGTGGGTGTTTCTATCATTTGATGTATATGGGTTGCAAATAGTTGTTTTCGGTTTATGGCTTTAGATTTACAATTTTTTTCGTTGATCGATCAATGTAAGGGCTCGTTAGTTTTGTTGTTTAATTATGTAAATCGAGTATGTAAGTCTGTGTCGTTCGTGGCAAGAAGTTGCTTTGAAATAGTACCAGAAAAGTGAAGAAAAACTGGAGGAACCGGGCGAACAGAGCCTCGGCACTTGGGCGGTGCCCAGGCACTGGCTATTGACGCCGGACAACGACGCCTAAGTGCTACCAAAGCTGCAGAAACCTGAAAGCTCAGGCTTGCAGCAATAGGGGCAGCGCCTAGGCACTGGGTTTTTTTAAAAAAATATTATTATTTTTGTTTTGTTTCATTTCTTATGGGAAGCCAAAAACCAGTCTATTTTGCTATTTAATTATTATGCATTTTGAATGTATACTTAATTAGTTGTATATGTTGCATAAATTATGTCATATAGTTTAAAATTCCAACATAGGTTAAGCATGTTCATGCATCACATGTATATAATAGTTATAATGTATGATAGCATGATTTATTTTCATCATTAATTAATATAAGTGTTGTATTAATTGGATGAAAATAAAGTTGCATTGAACATGGTATTACTTTAGTATATATAAATGTTATATTTATGTATGTCATTGATGCATGATTATAGTTTCAATTTCTTTAAATTTATAAATGTTATAAGTTTGGTGAATACAAATTAAAGTCTATAATAAAGAATTGCATGGAAACCCTAGGTCTTCAATAATTAATTTTAAAGAGGTTTGAAATTGATTTGACCTTAGATTATACACTTTTTATTTTCGGTTTTAAATAGTTTTAAAATGACGAAATAAAATGTTAATATAAAATATTGCTTATAAGGGAACCCTATCTATGGAAGGTTTTGTCTAAGTTGAGGTACTTAAGCCGACCGTAAGGGAACACCTTTACTTGGGAATCGACCAAGGGGTTGAATTAGTCAATATTTGGCATGTAATAATGTGGTTAGTTCGTTAAAGTGTTTAATGAACTAAAACATTAGTGTTAAACAAATCTAATATAAAGTTATATTGGGCAAACTAATGAACTTAGATCATTTCATTTAGCCGGATTTTACCTAAGTAATGACCCTAGTTGTAAAATACTAAGTGAGAGGATTAGGTGTATATATAAAATATACCAAGTATATGAAATATGTGGTATATATATACATTCTTTCATTCACGTTCTCTATATAAAAAGTTCACATTGTGAGTTCCATGCTCGGCCTCATGTCGCCCTGGGCGCAGCCTCCCTATGGAATGTGTTTGCATGGTTCAATATCAAGGTGAATTGAGAAAGCATTTATAGTAAGTGGGAGAAGGACGTCTGACAACACATCCTACAGTCTCTTCCATTGGTTTGCAACGTGAGGTTTTATACACAGCCTACGTGTTGTCCTGGAGCGACCACCCCTACAGAGGGTCTGTTGTATGGAATCAAAATCAGGGCGAACTCTAGAAATGGATAAGGTCTCTTATATTTTGCACCAATATTTTTCCTTCTCTATGACATGCTTATTGGGCCGGACCTCTAAGGTCTAAAAATGGCAGGTCACACTTCAGGAAGTTGTTAAGTTAATTAGTAACTTCTTCACCAAACTAATGGTGACTAACTATTATAGGAATAAGTGTTATTCTGATGTAATATTTAGTTGAGAATGTCTCAATTTAAGGAAGGAGTAGTTGATTGCCCCACGGTAGTTGTTGCTCTAAATCATAGAAGCATCGTCGCAAAAATAATCTTGATTGATAGGGTGCATTGTTACTTTTTGCTAAAATTGATTGGGTTTTAATGGGTAGTGCAAGTGTCTAATACAGACTTATTTGTATTTCAGCACGTCTACTTCCATTATTGCCCTGCTTGCTGCTGAAAAATTTAACAGCGAAAATTACACACAATGGAAAACGAACCTTAACACTATACTCGTGGTAGATGATCTTAGATTCATCTTAACCGAGGAGTGTCCTCAGGCTCCCACGCCAAATGCAGCTCGAGCTAGTCGGGATGCCTATGACAGATGGATCAAGGCCAATGACAAGGCTAATGTCTACATCTTGACAAGCATATCTGATGTGCTGTCCAAGAAGCATGAGAGTATGGTCACCGCAAGGGAGATCATGGACTCGTTGCAGGACATATTTAGACAGTTGTCCATTCAAGCCCGACACGATGCCCTCAAGTTCATTTAGAGTTTCCACATGAAAGAGGGAACATTAGTGTGAGAACATGTTTTCAATCTGATGGTCCAGTTTAATGTGGTCGAAGTGAACAGAGCTGTCATAGATAACGGGAGTCAAGTCAGCTTTCTCTTGGAATCTCTTCCGAAGAGTTTCCTACAGTTTTGCAGCAATACTGAGATGAACAAGATAGAGTACAACCTCACCACGCTCTTAAATGAGCTACAGATTTTTCAGTCTCTTATGAAAAATGAGGGACAGGAAGGGGAGGCAAACGTTGTCACCTCAAAACAGTTCCATCAAGGTTCAAACTCAAGAACCAAATCTGTACTTTCTTCTTCTGGAAGTAAGACTTTCGAGAAGAAGAAGAAGAATGGTAAGGGGATGAAAGTTGACCCTACTTTTACTGCTACTACCAAGAAAGGCAAGGCCAAAGTTGTAGACAAAGGAAAATGTTTCCAGTGCAACGTGGATAGGCACTGGAAAAAAAACTACGCCAAATACTTGGCCGAAAAGAAGAAAGCCAAACAAGGTAAATATGATTTACTTGTTCTTGAAACTTGCTTAGTGAAGAATGATGATTCTACCTGGATATTGGATTCAGCGGCCACTAACCATGTTTGTTCTTCTTTTTAGGGAATTAGTTCCTCGAGGCAGCTTGATGTTGGGGAGATGGCTCTCAAAGTCGAAATGAGAATGTCGTCTCAGCAGTCGCAGTGAGAGGCCTAATGTTGTTTTTAGACAATAATACATATATATTATTAGATAATGTGTATGTATTTCTCAAAATAAAGAGGAACTTAATTTCAATTTCTTGTCTACTAGAACAATGTTATGTTATTTTCTTTTTATTAAATGAAGTGTTCATTTCACGAAATGGTGTTAACATTTGTTCTAAAAAACTCGAAAACAACTTATATGTGTTAAGACCAACCATAACAACAATAATTTTAAATATAGAGTTGATTAAAAATGCTAAAACTCAACAAAAAAGGCAAATAATTTCTCGAAAAGAAAATACCTATCTTTGGCACTTAAGATTAGGTCATATAAATCTCAGTAGGATTGGGAGGTTGGTTAAGAGTGGACTTCTAAGTGATTTAGAAGATGACTCATTACCTCCATGTGAATCTTGTCTTGAAGGCAAGATGACTAAAAGACCTTTTACACGAACAGGTTACAGGGCCAAAGAACCCTTGGAGCTGGTACATTCAGACCATTGTGGTCCGATGAATGTTAAAGTCGGGGGAGGATATGAGTATTTCATCTGTTTCATAGATTATTATTCAAGGTATGAATATCTCTACCTAATGCAACATAAGTTTGAAGCCCTTGAAAACTTTAACGAGTACAAGACTAAAGTTGAGAACCAATTAGGTAAGACGATAAAGACACTTTGATCTAATCGGTGTGAAGAGTATATGGACTTAAGATTCTAGGACTATATGATAGAACATGGAATTACATTCTAACTCTCAGCACCTGGTACACTTCAACATAATAGTGTATTAGAAAGGAGAAATAGAACCCTGTTGACATGGTTCGATCTATGATGAGCTATCCTCAATTGCCTGCCTCGTTTTGTGGTTATGCAGTAGAGATTGCAATATACATTTTTAACACAGTTCCATAAAAAAGTTTTTCTGAAACACCTGTTGAACTATAGAGGGGACATAAATTTGGTTTACGTCACTTCTGAATTTTGGAATGTCCAGCACATGTCTTAATGACAACCCCAAAGAAACTGAAATATCGTTCAAAAGTGCGCCTATTCGTAGGTAACCTCAAGGAAACGAGAGGTGGACTATTCTTTGATCCACAAGAAAACAAGGTGTTTGTATCGACAAACGCTACATTGTTGGAAGAAGACCACATTAGAGATCATAAACCACGAACCAAGGTTGTGTTAAATGAGATTTCCGATGAAGCTACAAATAATCAACAAGAGTTGTTGATAAAGCTAGCACTTCAACAAGAGTTGTTGATGACGCTAGTACATCATGTCAATCACATCCATCTCAAGAGTTGAGAGTGCCTCGATGTAGTGGGAGAGTTGTGACACAACCTAATCGTTACATGGGTTTAATAGAAACCCAGGTCGTCATATCTAAGGCGTTGAGGATCCATTGACCTACAAAAAGGTTATAGAAGATGTTGATAAGGACAAATGGATCAAAACTATGAACCTTGAAATGGAATCTATGTACATCAATTCCGTTTGGGACCTTGTAGATCAACCTGAAGGAGTCAAACCTATAGGTTGTAATTGGATCTACAAAAGAAAACGAGATGCTGAAGGGAAGGTATAGACCTTTAAGGCTAGATTGGTGGAGAAGGGTTACACCCAAAGGGAAGTGGTGGACTATGAGGAAACCTTCTCCCCGGTTGCCATGCTAAAATCAATAAAAATACTCTTGTCCATTGCCACATTTTATGATTATGAAATTTGGTAAATAGATGTCAAGATTGCTTTTCTGAATGGCAATCTTGAAGAGAGTATTTATATGTCTCAATCAGAAGGGTTCATTAAGTAAGGTCAACAGCAAAAGGTTTGCAAGCTTCAATGATCCATTTATGGATTAAAACAAGCATCTCGATCTTGGAATATAAGATTTGATACCGCAATCAAGTCTTATGGTTTTGACCAGAATGTTGATGAGCCTTGTGTATTACAAGAAAGATCATCAACAACATTGTAGCTTTCTTGGTGTTGTATGTGGATGATATCCTACTCATTGGGAATGATGTAGGTTTCCTAACTGACATTAAGAAGTGGCTAGCAACTGAATTCCAAATGAAAGATTTGGGAGACGTTCAGTTTGTTATGAAGATTTAAATCATAAGAAATCGAAAAAACAAAACGCTACCCCTGTCTCAGGCAACTTATATCGACAAAATGCTTGTCAGATATTTGATGCAGAATTCCAAGGAACAATGTCCTAAGACACCTCAAGAAGTTGAGGATATATATGACATGCATTCCCTATGCTTCAGTAGTGGGTAGCCTGATGTATGTCATGTTGTGTACTAGGTCTGACATTTGCTATGTAGTCGAGATTGTCAGTAGGTATCAATCAATCTAGGATATGATCACTAGACTATCGTTAAGGGAAACCTCAAGTATGTTATGAGAACAATGAACTATATGCTTGTGTATGGCGTTAAAGATTTGATTGTTACATGATACACTAACTCTGATTTCCAAAGTGATTAGGATTCAAGGAAATCTAATTCGGGGTTAGTGTTCACTCTTAATGGAGGAGCTATAGTATGACAGAGCATCAAACAAGGATGCATCGCAGACTCCACAATGGAGGTCGAATATGTTGTCGCTTGTGAATCAGCAAAAGCGGCAGTGTGGCTTAGAAAGTTCTTAACTGGTTTGGACGTTGTTCCAAACATGACTTTGCCCATCACACTTTTATTGTGATAACAAAAGAAGTCATAAAATAGGCAAGCACATCGTGAGGAAGTATCACATGATACGAGAAATAGTGAAATGAGGGGACATGATCGTCGCGAAGATGGCTTCTGGGCATAACATTGCTGATCTGTTTACAAAGGCTCTTACGGCTAAAGTGTTCGAGATATGTACAATATAGTATTGTCCAAGTGGGAGACTTCTAAAGGGTATTGTGTATGCCCTAGTTTATTGTATTTGTTATTTATTGTACAACCCACTTTTGCTTTTAGCGCTTCTACACCCTACTAGAGTTTAGTTCAAATTGGAGTTTGTTGGGTTTTATGCCCTAAACTCGTGGTTTGTAAACATAAAACAAATATTCATTCAATAAAGTTGTTATTGATGTTTCTCTTAGAATTGCATTAACCCAAATCCAATAAACTAACATCGAAGGTTACATCATGTAACTGGAGCAGTATATAAGAAATATACAGTATATGTTTAATACACAGCGTATATATTTGATATATAGTGTATATATATACAGTATATATTCGATATATAGGTGGATAATGTTGCAATAGTAACCTAAAGGGTCTATAGTATATGGATCAGGTTGGGTGTCTGATCCTAGTAACACTATGGATACAGCCCACTTTGCAATAGTTACAAAGGACTTGATCCAGGTCGTTCGTGTGGAGACATGCGAGTGGGGTTATCCTATACAATGAGTTCGTATAAGACCGGACTGCGAAATAATTAATCTTTAGCTATAATACCGTTAGCTAATAGATTAATATTTTAATAGGATTACCAGGTAACTCGATCTCAATCCTGAGTGAGTTATGCACTCATGCCTGTTAGGGCTCGTCCTTTGATTTATATGTGTGAGAGTGGCTCGAGTCGTCAACTCAATATTCTGACAATTTTAGGGACGAGATCGAGTGGGGAGTTGGGAACATGAGTGTTTGATAACTCTTCGTAAGAGAGTGCTCTGTAGCATATTTTGGTGTGTAAATGTAAGAGTCATTATCAAAAGACCATGGAAAAGAGAAGAAATCAATTGGTTGGGTCCCCGAGCTTTTAGAATTCTCAATTCCCTCATTTTGAATGAATTATGCTTAATTATGGATGTTTTGTATAGGAATTGGAGATTTTGTTCAGGGCAAGCGAAGTGCTTTCAAGGCTATAAAAGTCTTTCGAAATGCTATTCTGCACGCAGATGTTATTGAGCATGAAATTAGAGCTTATACGGCTCCAACATTCTACGACTTCAACCTAGTGATTGTAGATCCTACTATTGAAGCCAATAGATTTGAGTTGAAGCTGACAATGTTTCAAATGCTCCATACCGTACAGCATTTCTATGGACTTGCATCAGAAGACCCTCATTGTCACCTACGTTATTTCATGCAAGTGGCTGATTCATTTAAGGTAGAAGAAGTTAGTAAAGAGGCTATGCGCCTGAAGTTATTCCCTTATTCCTTGAGGGATAATGCTATAGCATGGTTGGATTCTTTACCTGTAGAGTCAATCACTTCATGGAATGATTTAGCATAGAAGTTCCCGATGGAATACTTCCCACCATCGAAAAATGTGGTGCTTAGGA